GTTTTTCAGAATGCGATGGACAGTTCTTAGCCCAGTTTTAGTTGTTTCTGCAATCTCCTCAGATGTTTTCTCTGCTTGTCAAACAGACTAACATATTTTCCATGACCATCAGATGTGTCTTTCCACCTGGTTGCTTAAGAAATGAGAAGCAACTCATTTCACAAGTTGGAGTTTCATAACTTGTTGTCAGATGAAAGATAATCACCCATGTTGTAATCAGCCAATAGGAGACTCTTACCTATTTGCCTAGTTAAATCTAGGTGACGACCTATTTTTGGCCAGGTCTTGTATAATGGTCAAACAAACCTAACTCATCCCCATTTCCTAACTATTTAATTAACTGAAAACACAAACACTGTTTGGCATTGGTAGACAATTCTGTCCTCAAGACCCAATAGGTCATTGGTGTCCAATCCTGGTCCTCATGGGACATCATCCTGCTTATTTACAGTTTTTCTCAGTTGCTAAAACACTCAAATCCATTGGCCGAAGAAAGTTCTCAGTTGCTTGAACTCGTTAAGCTAACTGTTCAGTCTGTCGTCCAAGGATGCAATTTTCACTTTAGAAGTGGGGGGGACACGGGGGGGGGGGGGGGGTGTCTTTACAGTATGCTCCAATGGGAAACAGGCTTCAACACAAACGGTCGTTTTCCGCTTGGTCCTAGAGCTCAACCAGTGTTAATTTAACATAGCGTAATGTTGTTTTTGGATGGTAAAAAGTGCAGGGGTCAAAACTTGACTTTGGAAAATGTGGGGGGGACATGTCCCCCCTGCCCCCCCAAAAAATTACGTCCATGCTGTCGTCAATACATTAAACTGGGGCTATTCAACTCCAGGCCTCGAGGGCCAGCATCCAGCACATTTGGGTTTTAACGCTGCTTCAACGCACTTGATTTCAATCAGTAGGTGATTAGGCTTCTGCAGAGCCTGATGAGGTGCTGCACAGGTGATTCAACCACTGAATCAAGTGTGTTGGACTAGAGAAGCCACAAAAATGTGCTGGAATTGAATAGCCCTGCATTAAACCAATTCACACGGTTTAGCAAAACTCTAAACGTGTTCTCATTCTTAAAACACATTCTGCACTCTAATGCACATGCCGTCCATGCTGGTAAACACAAGTGGCAACAATTACATATCAAGAGAGTAAACATTTTATTGATGGAACACAATCAGTCAAAACTGACTTCATTTGTTTCAAATGATGCGCCAACCAATATAAACCAGTCCAGAGAGCAAACAGGTTGTTGATGGTGGGAATGTGAGAGTTTGAGAATTGATAGAAGAATTTATGGATGAGGATGAGGATGAGTGAGAGTGAGAGGTGGGGGAGAATATTGCATGTGATGTTGATGAAGTGCTCTGGCCTGCAGCCCAAAGGCAAAGAAAAAGCCCATTGATCACATGTTTTGCCCTTTAATTTGCATCACTTTCACTGTATACTCCAGCACAGTGCATTTTAGGCTGTGTAAGGTACAATGAACAAATTGTATGGCCCTGAACATTGTGCATTCCGTTTTTTTCAGTACTGACTGCTCAATAGATTTTGATTGGTTACATGTTCATATCATCAAAGAACAGGAATTACAGCATCACAGAGATAATTTTTGAGATGCATGGTACAGCACTGTAAAGGTAAGTGTTCAAGAAAGTAGCCTGACCAGCCAGCCCCATGCTTCCTTCTGGGAAGCATTGGGTCTGGAAACTCTTCTAGTCAAATAACCTCACCCCCTGAGAATTCTAACCGAGCCAATCAGCGCGTACGTCACACACCGCAACGCTGAGTTTCGCATAAACATCGAACATGGCGTCTGAAGTGGAGTTCGCTGCAGCTCTTTCCTCTGTCCTAAATGACTTAAAAACAACAACAAGTAGAAGCACTAAAAGCCTGTATTTAAAAACAGATGTTTGCGCCATCGCCAGACGCCATTTTTCACTACAGCTAAAAAACGACAGCGTTGCACTGTATAGTTGTCATTTCTGCCTTTTTTCTGACTGGTTACTTTTGAGCTGGCTAGTCCTGCCCCTCATGTGCCTCTTTGCCTGTGAGTAACCAGATTAGTTTCCTGTGTAGAATTAAACAGAGGTCTAAGAATTGTTAGACGCCTAACAAGAAGGAGGAAGAACAAAAGAAAATGCAAACAGCTAAATAGTGATTTCTGATTGGTGAAACATATGAAATTTGTTTTGAGATTAGAAATGTACTTCTCCCTGAGAACTGTTTTGAACAATGCGTTTTCTATTTTTTGGTATATTGTTTACTGACTGCTTGACAGTAAGTTTGAGCAGTTAGTTTATTGTTTGAGAGCAGTGTTTGATTTTGAGCACAGGTAAAACTGTTTTGAGGTGAAAGTTTGATTTTGCAAAAGGAGTCGGACGATTTTCAAATCACGCTTGAAGCTGAGTTTTAGTGTTTGATGTTTTGAGAAAATGGAGCAAGGTTTCAGGAATTGTGTTTTAGCAGTTGAAAAAAACTGTAATAGGCTTCTCCGCTCTGACACACCTGATTTTATTCAATGGGTGATTAGCAGGCTTTTGCAGAGCTCAACGGTCTCCACACAGAAAGTATGCTGGAACAGGAAAACCACTAAAACAGAGAAGGGCGTTTTGCTTAAACAAGCAGGATAGTGGCCCTCAAGGACCAGGACTGAACACAGTTTACAACACATTCTCACTCCCAGCGGGTCAAAAACAAACGCTTGGTCAGCCACCCTCCACGTCAGACCCCTGACGCCAAAAGTGCCCTTTTTCGTTACTTATGTGCGAAAAGGGGGTTTCCCCTTATTTGACTGCAGATCCCAATGCAGCGTAAAACTGACGCGATGAAATGTCCGCAGCCAGGACACCAAACAAGCTCATTGTACCTCACCTTAACCTTATCCTCTTATTTAACCTTATCCTCTTATTTAACCTTCCCCTCACCCCTATCCTAACCTTAACCATCTTGCCAGCGAACACGTTAGCGATGTGTCGATCGCTCTAAAAGCCGGCTCTCTGAAGTGAACAGCGGGAGCCGCCTCGTCATTGGTCGAGTTTGGACCGAGCCAACGTGAGGGGGAGGTTTCAACTACCATGGTGGAGGTTAAAAGTAGAGGGTATGTGTAACCTCCCCCTCGCCAGATGGTATGTTCTAACGTTCCCCTTGGGCGGCAAATATGAAAATTGACAGTCAGACTCTGACTGTCAGATAGTGATGGGAATTCCAGCTGGGAATATAGTCAGAGTGATTGCTGTGTGTATTTTAGTGATGGGAATTCGAGCTCTTTTTAGAGAGCCGGTTCTTTTGGCTCAGCTCACCAAAAAGAGCCGACTCTTTCGGCTCCCAAGTGGCTCCTCAGATTTTCTGTTGCGTAGAGTACATTTATAACCAAAATATTGCTAAACTATATGTAAAATAATTTACTGATGTAAAAAAAGCAATATATCAAATGTTTATAATTTCTATGGATTTAATCACTTTAAGAAATCTCCACTTTCCGACTGATGGCGCTCATTTTCTCACCGTCTTCGTCGCACTCTCCTCCCTCTCGCTCGCCTTTTTCCTCCTCCTCATTCCCTCTCGTCTCCCTCCACCTGCATGTGCTCTGCTGTGTGTCTGTCTGAGTCTGATCCTCCCTCTTCCACGCCCCTACTGCTCTGTGTGTGGACAGTCTGGACACGCAGTTACACATGTTAACCAATCGCCTGTAGCTTTCACCAAGGCAGGGGGGGGAGGGGGGGGGGGCGGCTCCCAATGACGAGCCGGCTCCCGTCGTTCACTTCAAAGAGCCGGCTCTTAGAGCCGGTTCGTTCGCGACCGACACATCACTACTGTCAGAGTCAGAATGCGTGGGAAACAAACGCTTGATCACAGTGAGAGTAACGTTTTAGGTAGCAAGACGGTTAAGGTTAGGATGAGGGAGAGGGGAAGGTTAAAAATAGTGAAACGTTAAGGTTTAGGTGCGGTTAAACGAGCTGGTTCGGTGCCGCATTTAAGGTTTAGGTGCGGTTAAACGAGCTGGTTCGGTGCCACATCGGCTAAATGAGGGTTAAGGTTAGGATGAGGGAGAGGGGAAGGTTATAAATAGTGAAAAGTTAAGGTTTAGGTGCGGTTAAATGAGCTGGTTCTGTGCCGCATCAGCGGATATCTAATCACGTCAGTTTTACGCTGCATTGGGATCTGCAGTAACAAAAGGGAAAAACCCCTTTTCGCACATAAGTAACGAAAAAGGGCACTTTTGGCGTCTGGGGTCTGACGTGGAGGGTGGCTGACCAAGCGTTTGTTTCCGACGCTTAGGGTGTGAGAATGTGTTGCAGTTTAATATTTCCCTGCCTCAACACAAATGGGTAATCAACAAGCATCTGTGGAAAGTAAAATGCTGAGAAAATTCAATCATTTGAAGCAGAGAAAGATTTTTTTATCCTCTCCGTGTTCAGAATCAGCCACTGAGATATACACAGACTTAAGGGGTATATCTAATTAAACTAAAATTGAAAGTGACTTTGTCTTTAACAACTACAAGGATCCACTTTGATCTCTTCCTTGAGATTTTGTAGGATGTGCTTCTTTGTGGGGTTTTGTGTCCACTATTCAAGTTCCACATTCTTCAAGAACAAATTTAACAAGTCCTTTTTGTACATAAGCTTGTTAAGCATCCATCCATTTTCCTTACCTACTTGTCCATGCAAGGTTGCGGGGGGCTGGTGTCTATCTCCAGCGGTCTCCTGGTGGGGTACACTCTGGACAGGATCCCAGTCCATTGCAAGGCAACACAGGAACACAGAACAAACAACCAAACACTCTTACACACCTAGGGGTAATTTAGACCAACCAATGAACCTCACTGTCATATTTAGGGACTGTGAAAGGATGCCAGAGTAAATGGAGAGAACCCACATACAAGGACAACATGCAACCCCCATGCAGAAAAGCCCAGAGCTGGGATTTGAACCTTTTACTGCTGCAATCAACAGTGCCAGTCACTGCACCACAGTGCAGTCTGCTTGTTGAGCGTAATTTTGACCACTCAGGTCATATCCTTTTCCTCTTTACTTCAGAAAGAAGAAAAGATCAATCATCAATGACAGGAATTAGGTAACTCACCTACTAACCCCTGCCTGCGTCACACTCTGAAGAGAACAACAGAGCTCATCACCATGGTTGGTGAGACTGGTCACTTTAAGGGCACAGATCTCAAATTAGAAACTATAGAAATGATCCTTGATCCTGATGAGGAATAAGTGTAAAATATCATCTCACTCTAGGGCTGGGCGATATGACGATTTTAGACCGTTTTACAATCTACACATCTGACGGTCTGTCATTTTTGAGAGACCTTTTTATCACGATTCACAGCTCTGCTGTTGAAATTCTGCCTCTGAATGAAAAGGGAACTTACCCCAGGCGAATGACACGCCTTTGTTTGACCCTTAACCAATCAGAGTGAGTCACGGTAATGTATTAGGGCCCCGCTTGTTTTCACCTGTGTGTGAACAAACATGGCTTCGGCCGCGGCTGAGAGCGACAACGAGGTTTTCGTTCCGAAGAGGAACGCCTCGTCCGTTATATGGAACTGGTTTGGTTTTTCACCAGATGATAAAGAGCAGCGAAACGTCATTTACAAGGAGAGCGTCAAGGCAAGTGATGGCAACACCACAAACGTGTTTAATCACTTGAAAAAAAGGCATCCCAAACAATACAATGAGAGCCAGCTGGTAGCTAAAGCTAAAAAGCCTGCGGCTGCAGCGGCAGCAGCTAGTGCTTCTTCCAGGCAGCAAACGCTAACATAAACACTCACAAAACTCACTCCCTACAACAGAGACAGCAGACGATGGACCAGTGTGACCGATGCAGTGACGTACCACTTGGTTAAAGATTTGTGTCCCGTGCGAACAGTAGGAGTGGGATTTAAGAACATGATAAAAACATTGGATTCGCGCTACGAGTTTTCCAGCCGCAAGTATTTTTCGAACACCGCCATTCCACGCAGGTACGCTGAATGCAAAGTGAGAGTTGCAGAAAATATTCAGAATGCGCAGTTTTTTGCTACCACAAGCGATCTCTGGTGCAGCCGCACATCAGAGCCGTATTTGAGCTTAACTATCCACTACATGAGCAACTGGGAGCTACATAGTATTTTGAACAAGTTAATGTTTGCACAATACGTTTGCAATTGACATGTTTGCAATTTAAATATGTTTACGATTTTAATTTATGTTAAGTTACTTGAAAAACGAGAAAAACTGATTTTTGTAATCGTTTCTCTCAGGGCTTTTATCATCTCTGGTGTGGGTTTAAAATGTAAGTGTGTTAGCACTGTGCTGATTATCCCTAATATGAATAAATGTTTATTTATTCAATGGTTCTCTTCTTTAATACACAATTGAAGTTCTGCTATCCAAGGACAAAAAGTCGTGATAAAATCTAAATCGTGATAAAATATTTGAAAAATCGTGATATTCTATTTTGGCCATGTCGTCCAGCCCTATCTCACTCACAGCACCCTGTTCCTTACTCATGGTTCAGGAACAGAACCCATTCATCTAATCAAACAAAATGAGTATAACTCATTACTGCTAACGACAACAGAGCATCCTAAAATAGTCACAAATATGAAACCATTCAGTTCTCTTCATCTTTTGACATCTGCATCCTAAAATGATAAGTTCAAATAACTGTTCAATTAAGAGAATATGGCAGGGGCCAAAAATCTTTCATTCCTGTCCCGTTCTCCTTCAACACATCTTATATAATGAGTCTATCTCATATTTTAGTTTTACCTTTTAGGCTGAGTTACAGAAATAAATGGACTGTTGCACAATATTCAAATTTTCCATTTTCACCCGTATTCCTCCAAAGCTTTGGATGATGAAGGCTTAAGAACAGTTTTCAAAGGAAATGGAGCATTTCTGCTCAGAAGTCTCCAGAACAACGCATCTTAAACGATAGCTGTACAGTTATTTTGTAATTTGAGAAAAAACTTCTACCACACTACCAGTGGTTATTTTTGCATCCATTATAATATAATAGGTCTTTAATTGTTCATTTGCACTTTTTAATGTGTCTTAGTTTAACTGTGTTTTCCATTTTATGAAGGTCACTTAGAAGCTATCTTGTAGAATGTGCTGCTGTGGTGGGACTATACAGAAACCATTTCTATTCACATCATTTGGAAAAAAATAAAACCTTTTATTTTCACATCCATAAATAATCTACTACACTGCCCATTTATTACAAATACTTCATTATAGTAAATTATTTAGATTCTTTTTGGTGACTGTGGCTCAGTATTACCATTCTGTTGGTAAAACTTGCATCTTAAAAAGTTACTCATAATTTAGTTATTTATTCTACAATTATGAAAGGGCATCTTTGTTAAAAATCTGATGTATTCTTCTATTTTACACTAATATAAACCACTCTGATCATATTCTCCCCCTCATCACTCCAAAAAGAAGAAACGAACAATCAGCAATGGCAGGAATCATATGAAGTGAATTATTAACTCCTGTCAAGTTCATACACTGAAGAGAATATCAAGACTCATCATTGTGGTTGGTAAGACTGAGCACATTATAGTGATGTGTCGGTCGCGAACGAACCGGCTCTAAGAGCCGGCTCTTTGAAGTGAACGACGGGAGCCGGCTCGTCATTGGGAGCCGTCCCCTCCCCTCCCCCCTCCCCTTTTGCTTTGGTGAAAGCTACAGGCGACTGGTCAACATGTGTAACTGCGTGTCCAGACTGTCCACACACAGAGCAGTCGGGGTGGGGAGGAGGGAGGATAAGACTCAGACACACAGCAGAGCACATGCGGGCGGAGGGAGACGAGAGGGAATGAGGAGGAGGAAAAAGGCGAGAGAGAGAGAGAGAGAGAGAGAGAGAGAGAGAGAGAGAGAGAGAGAGAGAGAGAGAGAGAGAGAGAGAAGTGTGACGAAGACGGTGAGAAAATGAGCGCCAGCAGTTGGAAAGTGGAGATTTCTGAAAGTGTTCAGTTATTAAATGCATAGAAATGATAAATATTTGATATATAGCATTTTTTTCTTTAGTAAATCATTTAACACATAGATTTGCATTATTTTGGTTATAAATGTACTCTACGCAACAGAAAATCTTAGGAGCCACTTGGGAGCCGTAAGAGCCGGCTCTTTTTGGTGAGCTGAGCCAAAAGAACCGACTCTCTAAAAAGAGCCAGAATTCCCATCACTAGCACAATAGGGGCACATTTCTCAAATTAGAAACTATAGACATGATCCCTGAATGTATAGTCTTAGCAGTAACCACTGAATGAGTAGCAACTGATTCTCAGAGCAACCATCCTCAGTCATGGTGCTTCTGTTCCACCTAAACACGCCCACAGTGAGTGATTAGACATGAAACATACTTAAAAACATCAATACTAATGCTTAAGTAACTATAGGTGAATCTCAAAACATTAGAACATGGTGCAAAAGTCCATTAATTTCAGTAATACAGACTTGTGAAGGACTTTGAGACGACTTTAGTCATGATTTGACACTATATAAAAAAATGAATTGAATTGAGAAACCATCTAAAGGCTCAGAAACCCTTGGCAGGTGTTCTGGATTAATTAGCTGATTTGAGCGTGATATTGAGTCTAGAATATTGAACCTTTTCAAAATATTTTTATTGTCTGAGATTTTGAATTGGTGGTTTTTATAAGCTGTAAGCCATAGTCATTACAATTATAATAAATGAAGGCTTGAAGTATCTGTCTTTGGATGTAATGAGTCCATCTCAGATTAGTGTTATATTTAACTTTAAATTAATGAAATACATAAACTTTCACTTGAACTTGATCTCTGTCTAGTGGTGTTTTATACTCAAAATTGCTTTTTTAAATCAAATCAGTCACTAACGTAGCTTTGAACAACCACTCTGATCGTGTTCTCCTACCCATTACAGAAAGTAAAGAACGATCATCAATGGCAGAAATCATGAAGAACATCATTAATTCCTGCCTGCATCACGCTCTGAAGAGAACATTAAATGTCATCATTGTGGTTGGCGAGACTGATCACTTCACGAGCACATTTCTCAAGTTAGAAACTATAGAAATGATCCCTGAAAGTATAGTCTTAGCAAGTGAAGAGTTGAAAATAATATCTGACCTACAACACTGGGTTCCTCACTCATGGTTCAGATCCAGAATCTATTTTTCAGATCATGTAAACCAATAAAGTGTAACTCATCATTTAACAGAGCAACTAAAAACAAGGAGTTATAACTCTTAAATAATTAAATGATGTCAGAGAATATCTATATCTATCTATCTATCTATCTATCTATCTATCTATCTATCTATCTATCTATCTATCTATCTATCTATCTATCTATCTATCTATCTATCTATCTATCTATCTATCTATCTATCTATCTATCTATCTATCTATCTATCTATCATCTATCTGTCTGTCTGTCTGTCTGTCTGTCTGTCTATCTATCTATCTATCTATCTATCTATCTATCTATCTATCTATCTATCTATCTATCTATCTATCTATCTATCTATCTATCTATCTATCATCTATCTATCTATCTATCTATTTATCTATCTATCTATCTATCTATCTATCTATCTATCTATCTATCTATCTATCTATCTATCTATCTATCTATCTATCTATCTATCTATCTATCTATCTATCTATCATCTATCTGTCTGTCTGTCTGTCTGTCTGTCTGTCTATCTATCTATCATCTATCTGTCTGTCTGTCTGTCTGTCTGTCTGTCTATCTATCTATCATCTATCTATCTATCTATCTATCTATCTATCTATCTATCTATCTATCTATCTATCTATCTATCTATCTATCTATCTATCTATCTATCTATCTATCATCTATCTGTCTGTCTGTCTGTCTGTCTATCTATCTATCATCTATCTGTCTGTCTGTCTATCTATCTATCTATCTATCTATCTATCTATCTATCATCTATCTATCTGTCTGTCTATCTATCTATCTATCTATCTATCTATCTATCTATCTATCTATCTATCTATCTATCTATCTATCTATCTATCTATCTATCTATCTATCTATCTATCTATCATCTATCTGTCTGTCTGTCTATCTATCTATCTATCTATCTATCTATCTATCTATCTATCTATCTATCTATCTATCTATCTATCTATCTATCTATCTATCTATCTATCTATCTATCTATCTATCTATCTATCTATCTATCTATCTATCATCTGTCTGTCTGTCTATCTATCTATCTATCATCTGTCTGTCTGTCTGTCTGTCTGTCTGTCTGTCTGCAGAAAAAGTAATCCCAGGTGCCAGTGACAACACTGATCACTATTATTTAAATAAATCTCATCTCAAATATAAACATGACAATATTTTTTTTCATTCATACATGAAACTATACATAATTCCAGTTGTAGCTGTTATAGGAACAACTTGTATTTTTGTGGAGGTCTATATTTTATTGCAAAACACTTAAGTCACCTTTTAGCTTTCTGGCTGGAAGTTGGATTAACTCAAACTCCTATAGCAACAGACCAACCTGCTTTTCTGCTCTTGCCACTGATTTGAATCTATTTACATAAACTCAGGCAGGAGAGCTGCTCAAACCAGCTTTAATGTTTTGGTTATGAAACTAGATAGAATTATTTTCCACGTTATTTTTGGTCAAAGCCACAAGAAGAAACTGCAGAGGGACCATGGACCATATGTGGCCCCAGACGCGGCGCTTGCAGACCCCTTTCACTCTCTGTACATCTGCAGCTCCTTCGTGAGACTTTTCTCTGCATCTTTTCATCGCGTCCCAACATCTCGCGAGGAAATCACTGAAACGCGATAGTTTTGAGCTGCCCTTAAACTTAGCAACACAGCAGCAAAAATAAGGTCAACAATGGCCGCTTTCCGCAGAGTGGCAGCACTGGCTGGTAGGCTAAACCCGTGGTCACCGACGAGAGCAAAGCTATTCGGTGCTCCGGTCGATAATGGAAGAAGGACACGGAGGAGTTTTACGTTCGGGGTGTGTGTTACAGCGGGAGGCACCGCGGCTCTCTACTTCTTTCACGAAAACACAGACCGGGAGAGGATGAGGAGGAGAGACGTCCGCGGATTGCTGCTGTCCATGCTCACCGTGGAGGCGAAAGAGAAGGTGAGTGTCAGAAGACCGCAGCCACGGTGTTCGTGTGAAGCAGTTCCGTTTAGCTCTTGTGAAGTACGAAGAAACCAGAGTGAAAAAGTGAAAAAAGCCCATGCTTGGTTTAAACGTTCCCCTTCACCCTACTAGATTCACACGTCTGCTCTGCAGCTCTGGGAATTGCCTTTTTTTCTTGTTCTGAGCGGATAGACGGTCATTTATTTCCAAACACACCCTGTGGAAACAGTTTGGTCACTGTTTGGCAGCAAAATGATTTGTGCGCGCGCACAAGGGCAATGGCGCTCTCCGCTCGCGCTGGTGCTGAAATGACATGTCGTTTTGTCACTCAAGCAAGTGTGTGCAAGGACAGCTCACAACTGCACAGCCGTTCTTACTGTTACTATACAATGGACTTAATCACCAGCAGATACATTGTGTCAATACAAAACACTGTAAATAACAGTTTTGCTGCTTCTGTTCCACTGAGGTATATAAATACTAAGCCTACTTTTGTTTACATGGTTTATTTCCAGAAATAAAATTTTGATACATATTTTTATTGTCTACCTAAAGGTCGGCAACCACGTTTTTGCCTCTCTCTCTCTCTCTCTCGCTGTGTGTGTGTGTGTGTGTGTGTGTGTGTGTGTGTGTGTGTGTGTGTGTGTGTGTGTGTGTGTGTGTGTGTGTGTGTGTGTTCATCGCAATGGTGGACCCTAGGCTCAAACCTGAAGCCAACACAGAAGTAGCTAAAATTGCAGTTCCACCCTCATCCGTTAGGGGCTGGCACAGGAAGTGAGCAAATCCTCTTTGACTCCCAAGTTAATAATGCCATTTTCACAGCATAAATAAACATGTTTACAGCCTGGTTAAAAAACATTTTAGGTTTAATAGAGCATCAGAGCCACGTGACTTCAGAGCAGGGCCGTGCAGAGACCTTTGAAGGGGCTGGTGCTCAAAGTTAAAAAGAAGCACATATAGAGCAAAGTTTTTTTAACAGATTCACGATCCAACAAGTTAAAAAGTTCAGATAATGAGACCCTTGGTTTCAAACAACATAATGTAAACTAGGAAAATATGTCATTAATTAAGGGAACGTTGTTTCATAAACAATTGTTTTAGTTTTTAAAGCTGACTTATGTTACAACCATATTTTTGCCCCTGATCTGAATCCAAGTTGTTTGATTTTTGATTATCTTCCAATACTGAGTCCTGTTCTGATACCAGGTGGTGATGCAATGCATTAAAAAAAGAAGAAGAAATGGAGAAAGTCCCATAGTCATCATCACATACTGGTGATCTCATTGGAGGGCAGTGGTGAGATGCAGCAGTGGCTGGGCTCGGGAACCATTTGGTGGTTTTACCCCCAATCCAACCCCTTAAAGCTGAGTGTCAAGCAGGGAGGCATTGGGACCCATTTTTAATGTCTTTGGTATGACCTGACCGAGAATCGAACCTGTGACTGGTGGCTGAGATCTTTTCCTGTCTTTAGGAAATTCCTGATCTAGTTCCATGATCTCACTCTGAACTCAAGACTAAACATGAGAGCTCTGCTACAACCTAACAACACTCTTTACAGAAGGCTACACACACACACACACACACACACACACACACACACACACACACACACACACGCACACACAAACACACACACACACACGCACACACAAACACACACACACACACACACATACACACACACACACACACACACACACACACACACACACACACGCACACACAAACACACACACACACACACACACACACACACACACACACACACACAGTCATTTCATACCATTTCTAGAATACTGCACATACCATGGCCATAACTTTGTTTCATGGTGCTGATCCAGAATATTTTCCTCATTATTTATTTCTGGTGTTATAATAATAATAATAGTCAACAATAAAAAAAACTTAATAAAGTAATAAAACATGCAGTTATGCTCACATTCACTTTTACCATCTCTTCGTGGGCAGCAGAACATTTATATAAATGACCCGCACTTGTATAGCGCCTCTCAGAGTAAGGACTCCAAAGCGCTTTACACTACAGTGTATCATTCATCCATTCATACACACATTCACACACTGATGGCGATGAGCTACGATGTAGCCACAGCTGCCCTGAGGCGCACTGACAGTTTAACCCTCTTATTACCATAATTATAACTGGTATTTATTTTTTCTGGCTGTGAAATAGTACAAAAAAGAGCAACATGTTTGTATTTCTGCTCCTTGTTTCAGAACAACCTCAGCTTTCAGTGTCTGGTTTGTATTTATTATTTATGTTTATAGAAGTCTGTAAAAATAAATGAAAAAAAAACAGATTTGAATTCTTTACATTTATTACTAAATAGGAACCTCAAAAGGACTTTGTCAGACTATTTCAAATGAACAGTTTAAACTCTGAACTTTATCTCAAACAGTCAGAAAACAGTGTGAACCCTGCCTCGTGTGTATCAGTTTTTACTTTTTCTATTTTCTAAATTTCTGACTGCAGCCCTGTCTGTGACCACAGGTAGGTCGATGCTCTGGTTCAGAGAATGGCATGAAGTAAAATAAATATTAGGTAACATAAAATAACACTCACACATCACAACTGTATGGAAATTTCTATCAGCATTATAATTATTGATAAGCCAGATAAAAAGTTATAATAAAATGTGAAATCTAAACATTTCATGACAACAGGTCAACTAATACAATTCTGCACAAATTTAAATTATATTTTCAGCTAAAAAAAATTTATTGTAAGTATAAATATTGCTGGAGTGAAGCTGAATCTTACTTTTAGTAAATAGTTGATAAAACAAGTTTGACAGCAATCAGTCCCTCATGTCACCAGGAACTTCTGGGACACCTGATTAAGGTGGATTTTCTTTGAGACGTTTCCATAACTTTATAAAAGCTGCTGATGCAGTTGATCAGTTATCTCCTCCGTTTCGTTCTCCGCTCTCCCGTCGCGGTTCGCTCCGTTTCCTGTGATGCTGAAAAGCTGGTTTCCCTCTAAAAGCGATTTTCGGAATAACATGAATTGCATCGTGTAATACCTCGTTGGAAAGCTCGTTTTATGTGCTTTTAGAAACCGCTGGAATTATTTTAATTTGATCAGCCATTCAGAAGTTTTCACGTGAAGAATCTCTCGTGTCCTCTTTTCTGTCTCAGACATGCTGACTCTGCCCAACACGCACTAACCACGGACTTAAATGTTAATGTAAACAAAAGCTCTGATATTAAAATTCGTCCAGCTGACGTGATGCAGGCAGAATAAAAAACTCACAGCTAGATGAGCGCAGACTCCTGCCTACAAGCTAAACACAGGTTTCAGTCGTCTCCATGGCGACAGATTTAGAGCGCCTGCAGGAACAGCCAATCACATGTTGGCATGACTCAGAAGAGCTAATCAGTGACCTTGTGGGCAGATCTAAGGGTTCAGCTTGAGGAGGCTGCCTCTACATGGTCCTAGTGCCTGACCTGTATCCAAGTATGACAGTTTTGGATGGTAAAATCTGATGAAAGACCGAAAAAAGGGCACTTTGGGCACTTCGGACAAAAGGGGCAGGTGCTCAAGCACCCCCTGCACGTGGCTGCTTCAGAGCTGTCGGTGGGAGCTAGCTCCAGGAGAAGGCTTCAGCCTGGGCCTCACATTAATAGATCTCCAGCCAAACCCCGCCCCAGCGTAGTCAGGAAACAGCTACGGGCAGCAGCAAGTCCAAATTGGCCATGAGCGTAATCCCCTGGTAGTGGATTCAAAGGAGGCTGCAACAATTGATTATTTGGATCATCAATTAATTGGATGGGGTCTTGACTCAATTATTCAAACTAAACTGGAACATTAAAAACTGCTTGGGAAACATATTTTCTCTCCTTCCTTTACCTAATTTAACAATAAAACATGATTAGAAAACAGTTCAATAGCAATGCAAAACAAAATGCTATCACCTAAATATATCCATAATTAAACTATAGTCAGTAAAGTTTAAGGTATTTCCAGTTTTTCCTCTACATAGGCTCAGGCGTGGTGCTCTGCTGAAATTCTAGCACCAAAGCTATGAAATTTAGTTTTTTGGGGCCGGTGTTACTCAGTTGATCACCTGCTGCTGATGAGAGGGCTTCCCCTGTCAGGAACAGGTGAGCTGCTGTCAACCCTTCTGTTTCTAGAAACACACTCTATGCCCAGAGTGACCTGTTATTTATAATTTTATAATTAATATTAAGTGAATGCACTAAACCCACAGGTGATGGAAAATAAAATTAAATAAGCCTGAATATTTTCTCCCACACCTCAGCTCTGTTAAAAATAAGCAGATGTCTGCTTAAGCTGGAGAATATGAAATATAAAAAGTATTCTGATGTTTTAATGAAGAAACAATGTTAATCTTTTTTTATTTTAATGTTGATTTTATTTCATTTCCAAGGTTTGGATGTCTGTGAACATAACTGAATATTCTGATTGGTGTAAATAATAAACATGATTATTAATAACAAGCCTGGATGTGGTTCGGTCTGAGGTATAAAACTCTGCCCCGGGCCTAAAGCCCTGCAGATATATTAAGTTTCTATAACAACAAATAAATTACAGCAGCTTGATTCCACTTTGTTCCTTAAATTGAGACACGGAGCTTTGTAAGTTCTGCATGCTCACTCGTTCAACAGCGAGTTCTGCCAGCTGATTGGTTCTTTAGGTAACTAGTGGCATCAGTACAGGTCTGGTACTGAGCAGCATGGATGCATCAGAGGATTTCGCTGTAGTCGGTGCTCAGAATGAACCGGAAAATATATCTAATCAATCAAATATTATATTAAAATGCTGTGAACATGTATAAATACTTTATCATACATTCTCACCAGCCTGTAACTCTTTTTTTTCCGTAAATTGCACTGGACTGATGCTTTTTAATATAAATGCCCCCGGACCCCCCTAGAGTAGTTTAATGCTCATCATCTTTTTCATGTCTGCTCTTTGGTGCTGCTGCACATCTTGTGGTAGAATAAGAACTGGATGG